AGGACGGGTTCCTCAGTGTTGACTTCAGACATTTTTCTTCGGGGGAACTTTTTGAGGAAATATTTTCTTATAAAAAATTGGTTTGAGGCCTCCTGTTAATGGAGCCCCAGGAAGTTGCCCTTTTTTTCCATATGCCACTAGCCCTGGCTACTGCCTACGTGTAAAAAAAGTTAACAGTATGAAAGCGCTACGTATGGGCATTGCTGCACTAACCTATGGCTTACATATTGCTAGGAGGCTTACGAGTTAACCACATCATAGGGGTTAGCCAAATGCTTTTTACAGTTTTATACCCAATCTTTACGTCATCCGAGTAGGTGGAATTTACAACATGGCACGTGACGGAGCTGGTTGCAATTTATTTTCGTGTTTCTCACTATCTCGTTGATGAAATTCGTCAAGTGAGGTCTGAAATTAAACCAAACGGCTTCTAGATGTGCAGAAAAGTATTAAAATTAGAATATATTACGACTGGATAGAATTATTAAGGATTTAAGCGCGTTTCTATCCAGTACTACTCTCAAGTGGTGTATTATTTGAATACGATAATTTTGTATTTTAAATTCGATCGACACACTCTAAAATACTTAAAAATTAAGACATTATTGCCATTATATTCCTTCAAAGTTAATTGTTAACACTATTATCTAGCTAGTGTTATCTGTATACTAGTTTTGCACTGAATGTAAACTATTGAAACTGAATCAAGGCACTTCACACGGGAGGAAGAAGCGTATAACAATACACGAGACACAAAAAGTCGAAAGGATGAAGGGAAGAGAGGACAGAAGAACGGCTTTACTCTTCGGTTGTCATGGTGATTCTACTTATCAATTGACAGTAGCGCTATTATTTATCCAAGTGGCGCTTTCTGCAAACAGTTGACGGACGGAGTAAAGTATCTACTACGTCTTGAATATTTGCTGAATATAAGCATCTTGCACCTTTCTATTTACAGATATTTCGCGGAAAGGAGGCGTACGTGTATCTTCTATTACAATATTTTATTATTGTAGTAGCATGTAGAGTGCTATTTTAGTTAATAAATAGTATTTACTTAAGTACAAGCTGCAGTTTTATAAACAGCGCTTGTGGTTCTCTAGAATAAATTATACTTAAAGTATATATAATATAATCTTGAAAACTTAATTGTTCATTAATTATATTTTAATTGGCAATTTTCATTTAAATCCATTTAATTTTCTAAAAAATAAAATTTTTGATAGATTTATCTTGAATTTTTCACTTGAAATTTTAAGGGGAAGGAGCGGGTTGTTCGGATTTCGTGGTAACCGATATTTTCAGAGGGTCCTAGAGAGTAACTATGAAAAATTTGGGCCTGATCGGTCAAAGGGTTTAGCAGTTAATGGGAGATAAATTAGGAGGAGGAATGGAGGTCTAATTAGCAGTTAACGGGAGATAAAATCAAAAGGAGCAGTGGGGTGACCAGGTTTTATGGTAACCGATATTTTCAGAGGGTCCTCGAGAGTAACTATGAAAACTTTGGGCCTGATCAGTCAAAGGGTTTAGCAGTTAATAGGAGATAAAATCAGGAGGAGCGATGGAGGGTTTAGAAGTGAATGGGAGATAACATCAGGGGGATCAATGGGGTGACCAGGTTTTATAGTATCCTATACTTTTTGAGGATCCTAGAGATTAACTAAGAAAAATTTGGGCCTGATCGGTCAAAGGGTTTAGCAGTTAATAAGGGTATAGAGATTGGAGGATTGTAATGTTAAGATATTCTATATTCTCCGAAGATCCTGGATAGTAACTACACCTAGATGCAGATCGGCCAAAGGGTTTATAAATTGCGTACAGAACCTATTCCTCCCCCCTTTTACAGAGTTTAACTAGTTGAAGTTTATTTATTGTTTAAAATTTAATCTTGTTTTCTAGCAGGAGATTGATTAGGTCGATAATTTCCTATTTTTTACGCCATTTTTTTTACTTTCCCCCCTATAAAATGTTAAGGTGGAGTGTAACAATTACTTCTGGAGTGTTTCTTCATCACAAATGTTAAGAAATTTTACAACTGTTTTGTTCTAAATTTTCTTTCTTTTTTTAATTAAATAATTTTTTAACATGTTCAACAACTCATTTAATTTCTACTTTATACATCAAAATTAAGTTATTTTATAAAATTATTTAGCATTTTTTGACAATGATAATTAAATTTTAATTCTTTACACTGTTTATTAATTATTAATTACTTTTATAAATATATTTAACAAATTTTTTATGACTTTATTTCCTAATTCATAATTAATTCGCGCGTGCCTTTAATTCTTTTTTTGTAATTTTCATATATTAAAAACAAAATCTAGCGAGTTGCGTAACTTTCCCGGTAAAAATGTTAAAATTGCATGTGGCGCCATCTGTTATGAAATTTTTTAAAATAAATTTTTACGCTACTAATTATTATCCAATGGCAAAAAAAAACTTAATTTTGAAGATAGAGATGAGTTTTATTTTTAAAAAATTGTAAATGATAACTACGAAAGTCATCATTAAGTCCGACACGTGACCACCTTTATCTCCTCAACCCCTCGACCTTTAATCACCAAAATTTAGTAACGTCAGTGTCCCTAATACCCGAACCTCCCTGCCAAATTTCAGAAATTTTCGACGAAAGGTACGGGAGTTATTAAGCTTCAAAGAGGGTGAAAACAATCGTGCCTTTCATACACATACACACTAACATCCATACATATAGAAAAACCCTCCATGGTTTTGCATTTCTGGACATTTTAAAGTACCCTGAGTCTAAAAATGTAAAAATCTTGAGGGTTTATTTTTGACCCCTCAAACTTTTTGCATAGTGTATTTTGTGGCATATCATAAGACACATGGTACTACTCTATGGTAAGTAGTAATATGATTTTATTTCGTATACACAGTGTTTATTTTTCATATAAATCATCAAGATCAAATTTCAGTAACGTAATATTTATTTTCTAGATTACCAGATTTATCTATAATATTCACTCTCTTATCTAAACTCAAATTTCATGTGTATTATTCCTCTGTTTCCTTTAAATTGTCAGATTTCACCTGTATAAATTCTCACATTACCTTCTACAAATTACAAATTTCAATTTACTATACGATGGCATACAGCAGCGGATCCGGAAATTTTAGAGAAGGTACAGAAATTCTTTACAAAACTTTACAATACCTGAAGAACCCGGCATTATCCAAGAAAAACCTCTAGAAGAGGGTGCAACCCTGCATATTCCAGAATACTTTTTGTGGTTTCACACCCCTTTCCGCTCAGAGAGCAATAAGAGGTCAAATCACCAGAGGATTGGTTACCTCTACACCCCTGGCTACTTCTTCTGGAGTGCAGAGTGCGCCCTGCATCCCCGAGCTGCTGCTGAAGAGGGGTGCGCAGGGCATAGAGTGCACGCAGTGCAGACAAGACTTTTAATGGTTTTACACCCCTTTCCTCTCGGAGAACACTAAGAGATCAATTCCCAGAAGATTGGTGCTCACTATAACCTTTACTGCAGAGTGCATCCCTAAAGTCCTGAGATGCTTCTGAAGAGGAATGCGCAGGGCATAGGGTGCACGGAATGCGACCCTTCAACCACGCCAAATTTTCCCCTGGTGGCAGAGATGTAAGACACCAAAAATCAACCTAATACATGCAATAACAGTTTTAACACGACAAAACACTCTCCTAACAAATTAAGAAGAGAAAAAAAAAGTAGAGCAGACCTTGAACCTTTAAGTCCCTATTAATCCGAACTGGAAGGAAGTGAAGTTATTATTGAGATTTTAATAGAAAATCTCTGAGTTAAGAAAAGAAAATCCTCCAGGGCATCCATTGTTGAAAGGATCATTGCATACATTAATGGAAATTAGAACCTTCAGGTTATTTGATTACAGTTTAATCGAAAATTTAATTACATAATCTTACATAAACTACGCCAGAATTAAATCTATCGAATGATTTAATTTCTTCGCATTTTACTTTTCTCACTTCCTCTCTCTTTCTAATCTTATCATTTTTAAATTTTAATCAAAAAAATAAATAAATGTTTATAAAATTAAGAATTGCTCTTTGTAATCTTTCAATTTTTATTATTTTAATTAATAAAAAATGAATTCTTTACGTTGAAACGATCGATAAAATTTAAGA